CACTATCAGCCCTTAATTCCTTTGCAATAAAGTTCACAGCTCCTGAGGACTCAGAGAAACACCAGGAGCAGACAGGCTGTCTTCACTTTGGTAGCACCGAGGAAATAGGTATGCAGTCGTCGGCTCAACCTGGGTTCCACGGTAGGTGACTGGCAAGCAATATTCCCTGCAGATGGCGAGAACAGAGAGCATCACCTCCGTCACGCGAGTACAGATTAGAGAACTTTTCTCCCAGAGCTGCCATCTAATCTGCCAGCTAAATTCACTGCATAACACTGAAAGAAATACAAGTGGGTTTTTTACTTTAGCTGCTTTGCGTTTTTCAAATAACGTATTTCAGAAAGCAGCTGAAAATATTGTTGAGGGCCTGACCGCCTTCGAAATCAGTAGGAGAGCATACAACGATAAAGTCTGACACTTTGTTAAGATGTGTAAAAACACCGTTTGTGATGAAGTAGTCAGACGATAGTCCTTCAGCAACCAGCTACAGCCACAAATAGTTCTGGGACCATCTGAAGTTTTGGTTCTTTCTAACAAATATTAAAGGTACCATCCAACATTCAGAGTGTTTGGTGGAGGCTATAAATAATTAAACTGATGAAAACAGAAACCTCATAGGAAACCAGTTTTGTATTCAGCTCTAAGCTGAGAAAATACCCAAAATACCATAATGGTAACTGTACTGGCAAACACTGCTCTTAGGTGGAGACTGGGTGAACTGAACGATCACCTAAAACAGTTTAAACAGTACAGCAAATAGTAACAAAAAGTCTAGGCTTGGCTGAGCCCATCAAATTAATACCAAATCCATCTGGAGGAGCATCTTGCACAATTATTTCTGCTCTCTAACAAGATCTTGGGACTACACAAGTCAGCGTTCTTCTGCAGGTGCTGATCCAGTTGCCACCTGTCCTGCGGGACTGAACGGAGCTTTGACTCGATCCACACCTGGGGAGCGCAGACACCGGGTCGGTACTGGCACTGCCGGGAAGCGTGCCACCCAGCAGCACCTCGCCACTGGGGACTGACGAAGATGGGCATGCTTTACTTGGCTTTAGCTGCCTTCCCATTGATTAGCAGAAGCCATTTATTCTGCTAAAAAAGGAAGATAAAAATCCCTATACGTAATTTTGTAGTTAGTATCAGTAAAGATTACCCAGTGGGGTCCCTTCTAAGTCTGATCGTGACTGGGTGGTGAATTCCTGCAGCTTTTATTTATGGCTGATGAAAACTATTAGGAATGCAGACAAGTTGTAGCAGTTTAAGGGAAGAGGTAGCATAATTAATTATGGTATTAAAATTAATTAAAAATTATTGTTTAACGTAAACAGCATAATTTCTATGGCTGTTTTTCTGTAATAGATGGAAGATCCAAGATCCCTTTTCTTATTTATGCAGTACATAGCTGTATTTTTGATCAAACCTGCCTTAACGAGCAGGTGGAAGGACAGGAAAGATTGCCACATGTAGAAATCTGCTGGTTCTACATCTAAGGCAACTACAGGCAGTTCCAGGCCCTTCTGAAAACCTAATTCAGAACAACTGATGAGTGAGTGCTAGAGGGAGTCGTGACAACTTGTTCAACTGATCACTTTAAGAGAAAAAATTTCAGATGCTCAAGTTGAACGAAGGACCTACTCATTCTCCTGTGTGAATCTGCTCCAGACCAACAAGCAAGGAACGCCCTAGTGAAGTGTCCTGAACTTCTCTGTCATGTAAAACTCCAAAATGTGCCTACACACCTAGCAGCAAGGCGACCTAGGTCAAAGTGGTCAGCATACACGGCTATTTTACAAACTCACCTCACTGTATTACTAATTAGGACAGGGATACGCAAAAGAGGGGAACAGGGAGTGTGTGTGTGTAGAGGGAAGCAACACACTGATTTCCATATGAACCATTTATTGAATAAATACATGCATCATAATGTAGAATTACATGAGCAAAAAAGGCAATCTGTACAAAATTGATTACCCTTTGTTCTCATTTCAGCTCTCACCATTTGCTGCAGCTCTGATAAAGGATTCAAGACAGAAGATGAAAACTCGTTTAATCCACATCCAAGTGATATGCATGCTGATTTGAGTTTGGGTTATACTACTGCTATAATTAAGAAAGCTGGTTTTCTTGTCAGTGAAGCAGAGTTAATTCTAAAAACAGTTTCAACAGTAGAGAACATGTGTTGGTACCTACAGGTAACAAAGCTTATTTGTAGCCATTTCTTAAACATCTTATGTTCATATTTTAAGGCACGGGATAAACAAGAACTACATTAAAAGCTATGAGTTGATATTAATACATTGAGTTGATAATGAGGTGCCATTTTTGCCCAGAGGAAAAATGATGTTCGTCCTCCCTACTTCCATGTAAACAGAACAGTCAGAATTTGGTAACTGCGATACAGAGGTTTGTTTCCACTATCAAAAGAGTCAATCTCATCTAGGCAGTCACCTTCCGATCCACATTCTCTCAGGAGAACATTTCTAGAGAGTCTGGCATCCTGAATTACAATGACAATTCAAACTCTTAATTTTAGATTCCTAAATGGGAATTGGGCTCTCTTAAGAACCTATCCCTAATTTGAGGTTGTAAGCTATTTTGGAAACCTGTCCTATATAATTTATTCAGTTATTCACTTTGTGCTATCTCACATTTACCCAAATACAGCATTTTTCCCGCTCAAGACTTTAGAAGACAAAATGTGCGCTTTTTTTGTTTAAACGCAGAGCCTTCTAACATCTGTCCCCAGATTTCAGTTCAGCCTTGAAACAGGAATCAGTCTAACAGCCCATTTATTGGCCGTGGCTCAAACTCTGGGGAGTCACTGCTCAAGATCTACA